ATTCTAGGTCACGCTACTAATCGTTCAAATCAAATTCCCGTCAAATGCGCTTCGGTGTTAGTGTGAACGTTCCTGTGCGTCCACTTTTCACATACACAACTAACTCACTCTCTCTCTCTCTCTCTCTCTCTCTCACTTCAAGAAAACGTTGCTCGTGTGTGCGTGCAATGACAAATCCTCCGTAACTCGGGACCTGAAAAGAACTACTGGAGCACAGATGGAGGAGAACAGAGAGAGCTCAGCATCAGCACATATTTAGAAATCAGCAAATTTTTTCCAGCCTGAAGGAAAAAACCCACAAGAGAACAGTGTGATGAGAACATTCCTTCCCCTTCTCTCTCGCTCTCCCTCTCTCTCTGCTCCGTTTTCCTCCTCCACATTAATTACGACTGACTGAGGAAGACGTTATGGCTCGAGTCTTCTATCCTTCGCTTTCAGGTTTATTTTAGCCCCACGTTCCCTTTCCCCCACCATGCTTGAATTATTAATGAACACGGCTCCTGTAGTGCGTGACTCAGAGTGCGATAAACTTTCCATCGATTAAACAAAAGCGCTGAGAAGCGGCGTGATGAAAACCGACGACTTGCCGCTTTAAATCGTACATGGTGCAATATATCGCCGCCTTTAGAGCTCATGAACAGTAGACGCGCGTGATGCGTAAGGAATTACAACGCTCCACGGTGTGCTGTTATGGAAAAATCATCAGTAACGGTGTCACTGTTCTCACACGAAACTCATTACTTTTTAGTTTTGTTCCTCTTATACCACAGCAGTCGTTGATTTTAGATCAGTCTTTATTGAGTAAAACAGCGATACATCCGTTTATAGTTACGTTTAGATCTGTGAAACGGGCCGAGTTCCCGTTATTGCTTACGTTAATGCAGTTACAAACAGTCGCTCCTCGAAGAGTAAACTCCTGAAGGGGTCACTGACACTGGAGACTCCTTCCATAGACGTTAAATAAAATGGCGCACTTCTGTAGCGCTTTTATCCAAAGCGCTTTACAGTGCGTCTCATTCACCCTTTCTCACACACACACACACACACACACACACTCACACCAAAGGTAGCAGAGCTGCCATGCAAGGCGCTAACTTGCCATTGGAAGCAACTTGGGGTTCAGTGTCTTGCACAAGGAGTCACGTGGGCCGGGAATCGAAACTCCAACCCTACGATTAGTGGACAACCCGCTCTACCACCTGAGCCACCACCACCGCAAATAAATAAGCGTCTCCTTACAGAAAATGCCGCCGTATCAATGGTTTTCTGGGTTTTTCCCGTTACCATAGAAATGAGAACGTATTAGAACGAGTGCACTGTAAGAGCTGCTCTTATAGGAAAGTAATCAATTAACACCTTCTGACCAATCAGAATCCAGCAGCGCTGTGGTGTAAAAAGGGCTAGTTACAATCATCATCATCATCATCATCATTATTATTATTATTATTAATGTCATTATTATGTAGTTGATGCGAGAGACAGCGCTCATACCTAAAGACACAGCGTTTTCCAACCTCGGAAACCTCGCTCGTGTGTTTGTAATTAAATGAAACGTACTAATTTAATAACGTGTTCTTTAACTTGAGTACGCTGTAATCCAGGAGTAGCTCCAGGTGTAGTAATATCATGTACGCTAACAGAATAACCTCTATAAAGCTCGACAACACCGGAGCAGATTATGGACCAAAGGTGGGGTTGTGTTTACAAGGCAGGAATAATATTTGATGTGGGTCAGGTAAAGAAAAGAAGAAAAAAAAAGAAGAAAGAAAAAAAAAAGCAAATATTACAGTCGCTTACTTTGTGCAAACATCATCAGCACAGCCAAGTTCCCACGTACACTCAGGGGGCAGGAAAAAAACGAGCAAAGTGGTGAAGGGGGGGAATCACACCGTGATACTTTCTACGAGATTTGATACTGTATGCACGAAAACGTTTTGGTTTGCTAGCAAACTGCCAGCCACAGCGCAGTGCTGCACTAAAATAAACAACAACAACAACAACAACAACAAAAATAATAAATCGATAAAAACAAACAAAAATGGACAGCAACATTACACACAAATAAACTGCTTTCAATAAATAACTTCTTATTTATTTAAGTAAATAAATATATAAATAAATGAACAAGTAGAAATATTGAAATACTAATAACTCAACTCTTAATCTAAATCTTAACAGGATTCGGCAATGAAAGCCCGTTTCCACCACGGATTAAAAAATCTTTTTTTTAAAAGGTAATTGTGTCAATTCGGACAATTTTTCAAATAATTTAGACGTCCACTTGATATTTAGCGAGTTACAAAGAATGCACCGACAAAGCATCAATCGTTCTCTAGAACAACACTCATCAGCTAGTCAAGACAAGGAAAAAAAAAAAAAAGAAGAAAAAGCAGTTCTCCAAGGCAAGGAACAGCTGAATTTTTTTTCAAGGTGTCACACAAGAAACATCTCACGAGGGATAAAAGCACAGAGCTCTCCCAAGACCTTCACAACCTTATTGCTGCAAAACATATTGATGGAATCGGATACAGATGAATCCTCCAGAAAGCACCATCGAGGACATTATCCGCATGTGGAAGCAACATCACTCCATCATCAACCGGCCACGCACAGGATCTCCTCACAGGATTTCTGACCAGGGGGTCAGAAGAACAGTCAGAAGAGTAGCCCAGGAGCCAAGGACCACTCGGAAAGAGCTCCAGAAACACTTGGAGGCAGCAGGTACTATCGTCACAGAGAAAACAATAGGCAATCCACTCCAATGCTCACGCTCACTCCACTACTAAAGAAAAGGCGTGTCGAAGCTCGTTTAAAGTTTGCTACAACTCATTTGGACAAGTCTATGAAACACTGGGAGAGTGTAGTCTGGTCAGACGAGAGCAAAACTGAACTTTTTGGCTGTCATACTACACACCATGTTTGGAGAAGAAATGGCACTGCACATCACCCTATAAACACTACACCAACAGTGAAGTGTGGAGGTGGAAGCGTCATGGTGTGGGGCTGTTTTTCATCACATGGTACTGACAGACTTCATATAATTGAAGGAACGATGAATGGAGCCCTTTATCGGGAGATTCTTGAGAAGAATCTGCTGCCATCCACCAAGATGATGAAGACGAGACGTGGGTGGAGCTTCCAGCAGGACAACGATCCAAAACATACAGCAAAGGAAACTCTCCATTGGTTTCAGAGAAAATAAATCAAGGTGTTAGAACGGCCCAGCCAATCACCTGACTCGCATCCAACTGAACAAGATTTAAAGACAATATATTTAGAAGAACAGACCAAAAATCACACCTGAATACTGTGGAACATTAATTTCTTCATACAGGAAGCGTTTTGAAGCGGTCATTACAAACAAAGGCATCTCCACTAAGTATTAAATACATTTCAGTTAGCGTGTTCAAGACTTTCTTCCCATGTCATTCCTCTTTATTACACATAACTTCATTTATTATTGTTTTTAATGTTGTGAATTCTTTAGATTTCTGGATTTCTTGAGTTAATAGTGATGTCTGGTGAAAATTTCGCCCGAGTAGTCAAATATATTTACTGGAAAAAAATGTTGACGCGTCCAATACTTATTTCCCCCGCTGTAAAGTCAGAATCGAGAGACTTCAACTTGCAATTGCGGAAAATAAAGTCACAATCCTGACAACATCCACAACCAAATTACTTTGAAAAGTAAACACCAAGAAAAACATTATTACGATACGGATATCACATCGTCATCTCGCCAAGAAATATCATATCAGGATTCTTGAGGACATTTCTACGATAATCGATGTGCATCATCCTCACATAGCTAGCAGTACAGTCGTTTTTCCATTGGGTGGGGGTTTGGGGGAAGGGGACTTCAATGTGTTTCAATGAGTCTGTAATAAGATTTATACCAAGATCAACGTTTATATCAGAAAACAAACCTAATTTAAATCACAATACTGATATTAGATCGTGACGTGGTCCAGCCCTGCGGTAGAGTTAGCGGTTGTTTGTTTTTTTCTGATAACGTAATATATAAAGAAGCCCACATTCCGTCTTTTCACACACGGGTCTGAAAATAAACCAGAGGACTACAGTCTCGTTAGCGTGCACACCTGAACTTGCACGATCCTCCGGGGGGTTATGATCACGTGACGCTGTGAAAACGCAGACTGAGGGCCGAGGCGAGACAGCTGGGTACCTAGCAGCAGACATGTAGCAGAACCCCAGACTCAGCAAGGCGAGATCGCTCCGCTGTGTCCGCACTCTGCAGTGCTGCGCTCATCAGGACTTTACTCAACATTCTCCTCCATTTCAGGTTTTGACGACGCGATATTTCATGTTGGTGAAAGTTCGATTTATTTATATATTTTTTCATCAAAAATAGCATTTTTATTTTTAAAACAATTTACAAGTTTGTTTGTTTTTTTTATTTGCACTGAAACATCCAAAAACAAAATCTTTTTTTTCCCCCTTTTACAATTAAGTTTGACAAAAACAAGAGCATAAATACGTATTTTCTTTAACAATCACGATATCCATCATCTCTCAGGAAAGCGTGACAATTTATCGTCATGATGTCGACGTTACATCATCATATAGCACCATAGTCCGAACCGCTCCGTACATTTTATTGTTTCACTTTATTCTAAACGACAGCATGCACTCGTCCTGTTGGGATGATTTTCAGTGAAACCGTCAGATTTAAGTTATTGAAGAGAAACGTTATGAATGTGGCGGGAGAGCCTGCGGTGGATCGCACCTTTAATTAAACGATACATTTGGGTCAGCGCCGCTCCAACTGCCACTCCAATAGGGCATTCCATTTCCTCCTTCCATCTGAAATTAATTCCACTGATAACGGGCTTAACGCTCCCGCTGCATTTTTATCATCTCAGAAATGAAAGTAGTTGTGATCAATAAGAAAGTAGTCATACAGCCAAAATACATAACGGTACTTTTTTTAATATATATAATACACAATCCAAATCATGATATTTAGTTTCGATGATCTTCGGTGACCGGGAATCGAACCCGGGCCACGGCGACAAGGGCGCTGCATGCTAGCCACACAATAAAACAACAGGCTACGTTTTAAAAACGTTCAGTACAATAGCCCTTGCTATTTAAAAACTAAAATAAAATAATAACAACAACAACAATTCAAACTAATTATATTATGTTACATATCAAAAATCTCTCCAGGATTTTGCTAAACACACAAAACGAAGAAAACTCTGCAATATTCGTAGACGCGTCACGTGACGTCAACAAGGCGCGCGTTCGTCCAAAGTCGTCTTCGTTTCACGTGCGTCGAACGTGAGGACAGTACAAATGGCTCATTTATCAACAAACGTCGCTGTGAAAGAGCGTGCAGAAGTATTTCGTGCGATCGCATCGATTCGAGTGGCTTTCCGCCAACAGAAAAAAACGCGCACAGAACTCCGCCAGTTACATCGCAAATTTTGTCAAAATCCGCAGCAAAAGCAAACGTTCTTTGGCGCGACAATTAAAAACATGAACATCGCTGAAGTCCCGTACAGACCGGATAAATACTGTAATATCTCCCAGCCTTAGTTAGCACAATTCTCACGCGCGATTCTTTGTCTAATCTGTATCGTTATTAAATTCGCACGTGATGTGGTAGCTCCGTTTTCCTGGAGCATGTTTGTACATGAGATTTACATTTTTATTTATTTATTTTTTTTAAAGATTTGTTGTGCTTCTGGTGCGCTTTCCAGTTTCTCAACATGACGAACTTGTGTTTTTCTTGAGAGGGAAGAGGGAAAAAAAAAAACAAAAACATAACTCATGTGCTGTCACAACATAATTGTGAACAGGAACTGACTTGCTTTCTGGACGGTCCACAAAATCAAATGCAACTATAAAAGGATAAAAAAAATAAATAAATAAAAAGTACGACATGGTGTTCTTTCAAAAAATGTTAATCGTTGGCAAATTACTGTGCTATAAAACCTTTCAGGACATGCTGATACAGGAAAAGAACCAACTTCTGAGTGGTAACAGCAGCTCTGCTTCATCACACCAGCCCGTCACGGATTATCTTCCTATAACTGCACAACACACACTCATTATTGACCCACGCCAAGTCTATATGTGTGTGTGTGTGTACAGCACGAGAGATTTCTGTAGTTTACTCCAAACCTGTTTCACACAAGCAACCACGCTCCGGATTCCACCCTGCATTAATCTCACTGGTATTTCTAAATAAACACTCTCTCAGTGCAGCTGTCCGGCTTCCCGACTGCACACAGCACCCGAGAGACAACCTGGAATCTCACGCACTTAAACAGCAACACCAATCACGTGAAACGCAACGTGGAATACAAAAAAAACATAGTGGAGAGTTTAAGGCTCAGTACTAGAGAGAGAGAGAGAGAGAGAGAGAGAGTGTAGTTAAAGCTGAGTGATCAGAACCAGATTAGGAAAGAGTGTCAACCGATACTTCGTGAAAAGAGCGAGAGGAGGCGGAGAGAGAGAGAGAGAGAGAGAGAGAGAGAGAGAGAGAGAGAGAAGCGATATCTGACACAGCAGTCTGCAAGGGACAGAGCAGAACTAAAAGCAGAGGTCACTTCACTCCAACTAGTCGTGGTGAAGAAATGAAGGAATCTCCAAGTCTAGTGTGTGCACGACCTCGGCGCGCTGCTTTAATAATTACATTTTGTTGCATTGTTCCTGAATAATACACAATAATTTACCAGATCAATATTTTCCCCCCAAAACTGTTCAATCTCGTTTGAAGTCTCTCGACACATAGATCCCAGACTAGACCCGTCTGTCCCAAGAACCATGTTTCTCCCAGACCTCGACATTCCACACTCAAGCGTCCCAAAATGTCCCAGACTTAAATATCCATCCATCCATCCATCCATCCACCTTCTACCGCTTATTCCTTCTTCAGGGTCGCGGGGAACCTGGAGCCTATCCCAGGGAGCATCGGGCACGAGGCGGGGTACACCCTGGACAGAGTGCCAATCCATCACAGGGCACAATCACATACACACTCACACACCCATTCATACACTACGGACACTTTAGACACGCCAATCAACCTACCATGCATGTGTTTGGACTGGAGGGACTTAAATACTCTTATTTGCAGACTCCACCATAACTCCTGAGAGTCCAGGGGCCTGATTCACTCCTCTACGACTCCTGCACGTCCACGGGCCCGACTCCTACACGTCTCCAGGGTCAACTCGTACACGTCCTCAGACCCGACTCCTACACGTCTCCAGGGTCAACTCGTACACGTCCTCAGACCCGACTCCTACACGTCTCCAGGGTCAACTCGTACACGTCCTAGGACCCGACTCCTTCACGTCTCCAGGGTCAACTCGTACACGTCCTAGGACCCGACTCCTTCACGTCTCCAGGGTCAACTCGTACACGTCCCTAGGACCCGACTCCTACACGTCTTCCAGGGTCAACTCGTACACGTCCTCAGACCCGACTTACTACACGTCTCCAGGGTCAACTCGTACACGTCCTAGGACCCGACTCCTTCACGTCTCCAGGGTCAACTCGTACACGTCCTAGGACCCGACTCCTTCACGTCTCCAGGGTCAACTCGTACACGTCCTAGGACCCGACTCCTACACGTCTCCAGGGTCAACTCGTACACGTCCTAGGACCCGACTCCTACACGTCTCCAGGGTCAACTCGTACACGTCCTAGGACCCGACTCCTACACGTCTCCAGGGTCAACTCGTACACGTCCTAGGACCCGACTCCTACACGTCTCCAGGGTCAACTCGTACACGTCCTCAGACCCGACTCCTACACGTCTCCAGGGTCAACTCGTACACGTCCTCAGACCCGACTCCTACACGTCTCCAGGGTCAACTCGTACACGTCCTCAGACCCGACTCCTACACGTCTCCAGGGTCAACTCGTACACGTCCTCAGACCCGACTCCTACACGTCTCCAGGGTCAACTCGTACACGTCCTAGGACCCGACTCCTACACGTCTCCAGGGTCAACCTGTACACGTCCTAGGACCCGATCCTACACGTCTCCAGGGTCAACTCGTACACGTCCTCGGACCCGACTCCTACACGTCTCCAGGGTCAACTCGTACACGTCCTAGGACCCGACTCCTACACGTCTCCAGGGTCAACTCGTACACGTCCTCAGACCCGACTCCTACACGTCTCCAGGGTCAACTCGTACACGTCCTCAGACTCCTATGTGTCTCTGGACCCATATGTTTCCCACAATCCTTTGTCCTGGGCTTTAAACATCCGTACCCATAGGTCAAGTGCAGTTCATCAAGAAAAAGTAGAAATTAAATATATTAAGTCTGCAAAAAAAAAAAAAAAAGGTCGTGTCTGTAGGCTGTTTAGTGTCTGGACTCTATATAACTTTGAAAATAGGATCGCTCAACGTTCAGAACTTCTGCGAAACCCGGACGTCCTAGCTTCTTCTCAAGGACACTCAGAAATCACTTTAAAGTCACCAAAACGAACAGTACACGTACACAGGAATTTCACCAGGCAGATTATCACACTAAAAGTCAAAGAAACCTACAGATCAACGTCAAACTTTATCCACACACACATCCTAGTTTCTCTGATAATCAGGTTATAGAACTACAATCTTATAGAAGTGTATTAGAAGTGATTTAAGAAAGTTACTCTTTCTCCCAAAACACAGTAAACATCAGTGAGATTAATAACCCCGAACAACCTGCTATTACTACAGACAACAGTATTATTACTACAGGAGAAATAAACACCACAGCAGGTCCATCCTGTTTACTTCAGTGCAGGGAATGAAGTTTCTGTAAACATTATATAAATATATATATTTGTTTATTTTTATTTTTTTTAATTCCCTGTAACAAATCTCAGGTTCACGTTGAAGGAACACTCTCTGTATAGATTTCTGGGACGTGGAGCGGAAGTTAAATTAGAGAGAAAGAAATGCAGACAGAAGGAGAAGGAGTGCACGCGCGTTACTTACTTACACAAACAAACAAACAAGTAAACAAATAAACAAAAGCAAGACAACGAGCCAGAGCTCGTAGTTTGCGGGGTTTAAAAGTGAGAACGTGCCACGCTTACAATCCTGCTGTAGAGAGGGTTTTTTTTGGGGTTGAGTGAACAAACAAACAAACAAACAAACAAATAAATAAATAAACAGATAAAAGTGGAAATTAAGCCTGCGCGAGATGACTTACTCGGACTCCAGCGGGTCGCATAAAGACGTCGTGCAGTTTCCCACTCACTCTTCTCCAACACGGACTTCGCAACAAACTCCCCGATGGAGAAGAAAGACTCGTTTATACTTCTTTGAGACCAAAGAGTTGCCCTGGAGCTCGTGTTCCTGCAGGGAAGAGTAATCCGCCCAGCCCGGACTAACCGTGTTTACTCCGCGTCCGGGGAAAGCCAGCGGGCGGAAGTGATCCCGCGCCTGATTGGTCCGGGGTTTTGCCAAGAGGCGGGACTCGGGCGTAACGCTGCGGTCTGATTGGCTGGAGGGGAATCAATCACTCGCCACACCTGTCCTCTCTCTGAACATGAAAGTAACGTGATCAATTACACATCAGGTAAACTGGTACAAAAGAGTGGAGAGGGGGAGGGAGAGACAAAAGGAAAGGAAGAGCACCAATAAAAGTAGAAAACGAAGAGAATTAGTTTGATGGGGTGTGTGTGAGAGTGTGTGTGAGAGAGAGAGAGAGAGAGAGAGAGTGAGTGAGTGAGAGAGAGAGACTGATTTCAACATGAGAGTAATCTTTCTGTCCTGAACAGGGAAGTCACGTGATCGTTTCTAGCGCCGTTAAGGACTGAAAATGCATTCTAGTGTACTGAAGTGTGTGTGTGCTCGGTAACCATAGTAACCAGTGTTGTGTTGGGGTGGCAGTATACAGCGCTTATCACAGGTCAGTTCATTACAAAATAACAGCACTTTTACTTTTAAAAGAAGTACTGAGTGTGTGTGTGTGTGTGTGTGTGTGTGTGTGTTTCCACTGTACAGACTGGTTTAACAAGTTTACTACAACGAGGCCAGGTCTTCCCTACTCATGAAACACTTCACAAATACTGCTATCATAAACATCTG